TCTTCCAGGAAGTTACTGATGTCTTCATTTTACATCCGATAAACTTCAGTTCAGAGGAGTTAGGGTGCATCAACCTGATATACATATTATCCCACTTCATGTTTTTCTCCCTGGAGTATTCCTATTGCAATGTAGCTGTTAAAATTATATGTGTCATTTTATATTCTATTTTAAATTAGCATCACGATAGAATTATCCTTTTAATGAGGCAATGTAATATTCAATTAAGCATTTTTCCATCATTGACCATCTGAATCATGTCATTCTATTCCACATATTTATTGCTTTGAAATAAATATAGTTCATACATATAGTTTTCATTTTCTTTTGAAACATTTCTAGCTTTCGTGGATATTAATTTATTCTTTCTTTTTCTTTAAGCACCTTTATTAAAGTACAACTGACAACTAATAAACACTTATTTGATTGATTTTGATACATGTGAGTTTTTTTTGTGGCACTTGGGGATTGAACCCACGGCCTTGTGCGTGTAAGGCAAACACTCTGCCACTGAGCCACATTCCTACTCCAGACGTGGAAAGATGTACATCTACGGAACTTGTTATAATCAAGATAGGAAATACAGCATCATGCTCAAAAGTCTCACATCTCTTTGTAATCTCTGCCCTGCCTTTGCTATTCTTACCCTATTCTCACATACCACAACTTCCTTTCTGTCACTGTAGATTCCCGTAAATGAGCTACATATGGGTGAAGTATTCTATCCATATCACTTAAGCTAATTTAGTTTATTCTTTTTCGGCCAGGCTTCTCTCACCCAGCAGGATTATTCCAAATATCATCTATGTTGTGTAACAACAGGTGTTCTATTCCATTATAATGTAACAATAATTTGCTTATTCATTCATATAATAGTGGACATTTATGTTGTTTACTGTTCTGGCTGTCACAAATAAAGCTGCTATGAACACTCATGTATAGGTCTCTGCACGGAAAACTTATGCTTTCTCTTGAGTAAGTACATAGGGGTGCACTGGCTAGATCGTATGAGAGGTGTATGTTTACTTTTTAAAGAAACTACCAAAGTTTTGGTGAAAGTGGTTGGGCCATTTTATCGTTTCTTCAGCAGTGCACAACTACTCCAGTTCCCTACAGCCTCACCAGCACTTGATAACTGACTCTTTCAGTTTGGCCATTCTCTTGGGTGCTTAATGCTATCTAATTGTGGACTTGATTGCATTTCCCTAATGACTAATGACTCTGTACATAGTTTCATGCACTTATTTGCATTCTTTATATCTTTTCTGTGAAATAGCTGTTAAAATCTTCTCCCCATGTAAAAAATCTTATTATTGAATTTTAAAGTTTTAAGAATCATAGTCTAGATATGTCATTTATTAAATATGTGCATAGTGAAATTTTTCTCCCAATTCCTGGCATGTATTTTCATTCTCCGACAGTGTCTTGGTCACTATGTATTGTCCATGTGCTACACTGTTGTGATTGAACTGGTAAAATCTTGTTTAGAATTTTTCTATCAATATTCATAAGAGATAATCACTCTTTAGTGCTTTTCCTGGTAATATCTTTGTGTAGTCTGGTATCAGAGCATTACTGATAGAAAGTGTCTCAATTCATGGGTGAGTTTTTGTAGAACTTGTATTATTTCTTCCCTAAATATGTGCAGAGTTCATCTGTGAAGTTACCTGAGCTTATGGGTTTTTGTTGTGAGAAAATTTTAAACTACAAAGTCAATTTCATGATTTGTTACAGGACTTTTTCAAGTTATCTATTTTTATTGTACTTTGGAAGTTTGCTTTCTCCAAAGAATTCATCTGTTTTGCCAGGTGTGGTGACACACACCGGTACTTCCAGCACTTGGGAGGCTGAGGCAGGAGGATGGCCAGGAGTTTGAGGACTGCCTGAGCTGCACAGTGAGTTTCAGGCCAGCCTGAGCTACATAGCAAGACCCTGTTTTAAAAAGGGAGAATGCATCTATTTCATTCATGTTGTTGAAATTATTGACACTAAGTTTTTCATGATATTCCCATGTTATCCTTTTAATAGCTATGGAACTGTAGTGATGCAACTCTCATTTCTAATACTAATAATGCAAGTATTTTTTCTTTATCAATCTTGCCATGGTTTCTCTCTCCATCTTTTCTCCCTTCCCTCCCTCTCCCCTTTGTATTCTCAGAGAATCAGCTTTTGGTTTCACTGATTTGGCTGTCTTTCGGCTTTTTTATTTCATCGATTCCTGCCTGATTTTTATTATTTTCTTATTTCTATTTATTCTATTTTCATTTTTAAGATAGAAGTAATATAACTGCCTTCAGACTTTTCTTCCTGTCAAATATGAGTATCCGGTGCTATAAAATTCTCCTTAGGTACATAAATGGTGTTCCACAATCTTTAATACATTTTGTTTTCATTCTTATTCAGATTAAAATATTTTAAATTTCCTCTTTGTTTTTTTTCTTTAATCCATGTGTTAAAGAAGTATCTAATTTAAGGTTTAACCACTTGCAGATCTTCCAGAAATATTTCTGTTATTTACTTCTAATTTAATTCAATTGTTGTCAGAAACATATTTTATATGACTTTTAAGGTTACTGAGACTTGTCATATGTCCTGGTACGGATCTGCCATAGTAAATGTGTCATTTGCACTTAAAAATAAAATATAGTCTTCTGTTGTTGGGTGAAGTATTCTATACATGTCACTTAAGTTAATTTAGTTTATAGTGTCCACACTTGTGTATACTTACTGATTTTCTGATTACTTGTTCTACCAATTATTGAGGAAGAATTGGCATTTCTAACTATAAACACAGATGAGCCCATTTCTCCTTTCAATTCTGTCAGCTTTGCTTTATGTATTTTTAAACTTTATTACTAGATGCATACATGTTTTGGGTTATTAGGTTCTCTTAACGTATTGGTGCCTTAACATAATAATGTAACCTTCTTTATCCTTGGCAATAGTCTTTGCTCTAAAGTCTACTCTGTCTAATAGTAATATAGCCACTTCAGTTTTGACTTGATTTAGGGTGGCATATCTTTCTTCATCCTTATAATTTTAAGCAATTTGTGTATTTATATTTAAATTTTGTTTCCTATAGGCAGCATATAGTTTGGTCAGAACATTTTGTTCTTCTGTAGGGTAAGTTGAGATTAATTGCCTTTGGAAAGTGAAAACACAGATGGAGATAGAAGCAAAAGGTGAACGCATACGTCATTGCTCGGAAAAAGTGTTGCAGGTTACCATGAGCCCTTTAATGGAAGTGTTGGTTGATTTTTGTTCCTTTCTGTCTTAAGATAAACTAAACTTTATTGCCTAGCAGAGTATAAGGCCTATAAAAACTGTTCAAAATGAACAGTTATATGTGTAAGTTATGAGGCTAGTATATCCATTTCCTGCATGATCCTGCTCTACAGGCTTGTAAAATTAATTTTGCAAAAATCATGGTATTCTGGACATTACAGACATCCAGACACACTCCACCTTTAGTAACAGCTCTTTCCCATGATTGATGGGGAGAAAGGAGAGGAAGATCAATAAAGCAGTACTGTAAACTTAAAAATACATCAAATCAGCCTTCCTTTCACCTTCGCCAATTATATGAACAAGTAAACAAAACTCTGGGAAAGACATGGGCAAACACAGGAAAACATATCTTGAATGAGTAGGATACACACACAGCGAGTACCTTATTCCCTTTACAGTTTTTGAAAATATACTTTATATGGTGATTTTAATAGCATTTTTATTGAGATACACTTCACATAATATAAAATTCCCCAATTTAAAGTGTTCAATTCAATGGCTTTTAATGTATTTACTACGCTGTATAATTATCACCACTAACTCCAGAATATTTCCATATCAAAAAGAATACCTGTACCTGTTGATAGTTAATCCTAATTTCCCAATTCCTCTACACTCTTATAACCACTAATCTATTTTGTCGTTATAGGCATGCCTATTTTGAACATTTCATATAAATAGAATCATATAATATGTGGTCTGAGGTCTGTCCCCTTTCACTTACAAAAATGTTTTTAAGTATATGGTGAATTTTATCATATTTATCATTCAAAGATATTTTCCTGGAGTGTACTAAAACCATCTTACAAAATTACAATAGCTATATGGAATTGTGAGACCTCAGTTCTGGTGCTGATCCCTTTTCATCGAATGTCTGAGGACCTCAGACTTTATTTTAACATCAGGGCATTGGATAAGATGATATCAAAGATCTCTCTAGTTTCTATTGCTCCAGAAATTTCTAAGGTAAGGACACACATAGTGCTGCCATTTTTAAAAAACTAATTGCTAACAAAACCAATTAAATAGATTTAAAACTTAGTGCCTAACTGGATCCCAGAGACAGGAAACTTGAGACAGCTGCTATACATAACACTTTGATCTGATATGACTCAGGAAGTTAGTATCAGTTTCTTAATCAAGAGAGAAAGCAAAAGTCAGCCTGGGTTGTCTGGATCCGTGTGTGCTTTCTTCCAGTTATGGAAAAGAATAATACAGTCACTAATTTCCACTGTGACTTCCTCCCTGATAAATCTACATATTGTGCTATGCTTTTATACTTTTCTTTTTTGGTAGTATGGTATTGAACCCAGGTCTTTGCACTAGGCAACATCTCCAGCCATTTATTTATTTATTTATTTATTTTTCAATATTCAAGACATGGTCTTGCTAAGTCACTATGTTGCCCAGGTGGGGCTCTAACTTGCAATCCTCCTGCTTCAGCCTCCCAGAATGCTTTGCTCTTATGCTTTTTATTTCGCTATCCCATTCACTACCATATCTCTAGAATTTAAAACAATACCAGGTGCGGAGTTGACAATCTACATTCAATATATGTTAAGTGAATGATCTACAGATGTGTGCAAGTCACGTAACTTAAATCTGATCTGAACAGTAAAGAGACATGATGATCATTAAGGCCTCAAACCCATGTGTTCACAGGAAAAAGACAAATGAGATAAACTAAAAGAACAATAGCTGAGACCTAGAAATTATTTTATTTTATTTTATTACTTATGATACAACACTAGTTACAGTACTTTAATATGGTGCTTTTTTGCAGAAATTAATCAGCACCAGCTTATGGCTGAAACTGCACAGAACCATAGTGTTCATTAAAATAGGTGCATATATTTTAGCTATATTAAAAATAAGCAAAAGCAGAAATGCAAAGAAGTGTCACCTGGTTTGTTTTTATCACTCCTTGGAAGGAGACGAAATGGCTGTCACATGCTTTTAAATTTTATTTTTAGCAAATATATAGTATGTGTTTTTTAAGACCAAAATTTAGAAGTTTCTGAAAAGTCACATGCCCTTGGATACAGGGGAGTCTTTCATGAGTCAGTATTCAAGCTTGGGGAGGAGAACCAGTGACATTTAGGTTTCCTTCTGAGCTACCACCAGTTCTTTCCTGCCAGCCCTTCCCTCCAGTCTATCCTTTTTTACAACCTCCCACTCCCATTTTGCTCATCTCTGTCTTTCCTTCCTTCTTCTTCCTATCAGAACCAAAAGTGTATGAATGACCAATTAGGATAGAGGGAATATTTGACAACCGTGTACCTCTTTTCCTGAGTCCAACCTCAGCTGCGATAGAGTGGGAAAGTCATACTGAACATTGCCTAGGACTCAGAACCAGTTGCCTAAATTTGCAAGGTCTTTCAGTTACTTGGATTTCCTCAGTTACTATTGTCACGATCAGGAATATTTTAAAATATTCTTCTAGTTTCTAATTGTCATAGAACTTAAAGCTTTCTTTTTTGCATGCCATCACTCGCAATTATAGTTGTGCTATTTTAATTGCAGAAAAGAGTTATAGATTTACCATGTCAACCAAGTTCTACACAACCAAGTAGACATAGCTTTCAAATTCTAAATAGTTTTCAGAGTTTTAGAATCTCAGTAACAAGCTGTGGCCCTTGAATTTCTTGACCTTTTACTTTCCTCCTAGGATATAATCCTTCTTTGCTTTATAATAAATCCCACCTTTGGGCACTGCTGAAGTCAGTGGGTCACAGGGAATTGTCCTAGAGCTAATTTAGAGGGCAGGCTTGGCATATTTGGTTGTACACCCAGGGATGCACAGAAAACCTGCGCATTATACCAACCTAAAGGCGACCTCGGATAGTTAGGGTAAGGAGCCTCCAGACTCTGCAATTACTATACATTTAGATTTAAGAGACAAAAGGTTTGAGTCTTATGTACCTCTCTATGTAACATTTTCCATTAATCAAAACTTTGATAGGGAACAGATATAAAACAAATGAACAGAAATAAGACAAGCCTATCATATTTTATATCCAGAATCTAGAATGATTTTCTTAAATCACTTTTAGTGTCTACAACACTCAAGGTATTATTATAAAAAAAGACTTGCACCAAAGCCCTAGTCTACTACATAACCCAGTTTTTATTTTATTTTATTTTATTTTATTTTTTTTGTGGTTTTTCTCCGGTACCGGGAACCGAACTCACGACCTTGCGCTTGCCAGGCAGGCGCTTTTGCCGCTGAGCTAAATCCTCAGCCCCCATAATCCAGTTTTAATTCTGAAGTTACACTGACACTCATATAGCAAGTTACATTTGGTACAACTTTATTTTTCAGTGATTATAAAATGAGGAAAATCTTTAATAAACATCTCAAAAATAAAGTTCTGATTTCCTATGATTAAACCTTCAGGTCAGTGAGGCATTCTGTGTAGGATACAATATGCTTTATTGCAGCAAAAATATTTTGTGCAGCTAAGTTTATAAGTTAATAAGATCCCCTTCCATTAGAGAATCCAGTTAACACAGAATTTCTGAAAATAATAGATTTAAAAGCTCAAATTGCAACACAATTCTGAGTGAATATGTGTTTAATAGCTCTTCTCTGTATTATTTTTCTTTATTCATCAGCATAGCTCATGGGATGCTTCTAAAAAAGCAATATTTTTCTTCCATATGCCAATCATCATTCCCACTGTTACCCCTTACTCCATATGTCCTTGAGAAATGCTAGTCAGTATAATAAATGCTGATGAAGATGAAGAGATTATGTTACTTAAAGTTTTTCATGACTCTGGAGAAACCCAATCTTTAGCTTTCGAGTGGCACAATGCCAGCATTCATACTGATAATGGGTAATGGGGGGGACGCTTCCTGAATTCTCACTTTTGCAGTTTTGAACCTCTATCTCTAAGATTCTTCCATCAGAAAGAGAATTCTCCTTTCCATCCACAGCTTCTGATTTTAGGTTTCACATTTAAAAGGTGCCAAGGGATAAACAAACCATTTGCAACTCAACCTCGGTTTAATGAACCAGGAGGGTGAGCTTCACCTATACTGAAATGGTAATAGCACCGACAGTACAGACTTCAGAATGGGCTCCTTCGAGGTAATGGAAATAAAACACATCCAAGGACTGGAAGATTGGTGCTGTCTGAGATTTGGGGTGTGGTGAGTATGCAGGTCTTCTGGAATAAACACATCTTACAATAGCCTTCCTGGAATTATTACTCTAGGTTCTATTCTTATGAGATAGAGTCATAAAAGTGTACCCATTCAGTCATGATGATTTGCTTTCTATGGTGCGATATTCATAAATCTTGTTAATAAATAGTTGAGATATCTCAGGCAGGCACCCGCGGAGCCAGGTACACCTAGAGTTTTCTAGAGCACACAAAATGGTAAGCTTTGCCTTTCCCACAGTGCTTTGCTTGCCATTTCCATAGTCTCTGAACCAAAACACAGTTCCTGCCAAACTTGGAGTGTTGAGGGCGTCCTCTCTTCCAAATGGCGAAAGGGACGGCTTCACCACCAATCCACTCCCAGCGGCCAGCGTGCTCTTGGTCATTCAAACCTAGTGGGGCCAAAAGAACGCACCAAAACTTTTTATTACATTTACATTTAGATAGCATGCTTATTCTACTGTGCTAAGCACAAGTTAATGCGGGGCTAAGTTTGAAAACAGGTAATAGAAGCGGAAAACACTGTGAAACACAGCTGAGCGTGTTTGGCATAAGGCAGATCTGAATCCCAAGTCTAACTACTTGTTAGTTGGCTGCCCTGGGCTCTTTATTCACCCTGGGTTTCACTTTCTCATCTAAGAAATGGATACAAAAATGGTACATGTAAGGCTGTTTTTGAGGATTTAATTAGATAATGCTTAGAAAACTCTTGGCATACCTATATATTTAATAAATGATGGCTATTATCATTCATACCATCCCACAGGCAGAGCTCTTATCACAGGGAAACAAGCATTTCTTCATCCATTGTTCTTCCTCATTATTTAAATGTCTTAGTTTTCGTGTTTGACGGTAGCTTACACTGTATTCTTTTTTAGTCTAGACTTTAAGCTGTTTCAGCCTGCTACAGATCCAAGGAAAAACAGCTTTTCTCTTCGTCCTGCTCTACTCCCACTGGCAACTCCTGGAAATTCCTCTTTCGTGCTGTACAGCTCCCATCACGTTTTCTTACAGAGGCATTTCCCCTTCTCTCTCAGTCATAGCAGAAACCCCCCAAAAAGGTAACACAAATCCTCCTCAATAGCGTAATCTGATTTCTTGAAACTCAGATTTGACCATGAAAACAGTCCTGACTACACAGCATATTACCTTTTCCCAAATGACACTGTCACTATTTTGGGGCAAAAGCAACTGAAATATTTTTAGTTAGAAAAACCTCATTTTCTTCTGGATTGTTTACTTGAATTATCAAGCAAATAGTACTACGCCTAAGTACTTTATGAAGACAAAACCTTAACATCGGTCAGGAGGCTTGAAAAAATTTATCATACAGTGAAAATTAGAAAATATTAAAAGCTTCAGAAACAAGGAACAAAATTAAGAGAACCTATAATTTTTTATTTGAGATGAATCATTTCTACTTCATTAGCATATACCTCTATTTATATTTATGTATACATTACATGCACATAAATTTAATTAATTTGTTTGCTTGCTTTGCTGTACTGGGATTGAACACAGGGCCTTTGCACTGAGCAACAGTCCCACGCCTTTTTTTATGTTTTACATTGAGACAGGGTCTCAGTGAATCATCGAGGTGACCAGACTGGGTTCAAATTTTTGATCTTCCTGCTTCAGCCCCCAGAATGCTGGCCTTGTAAGCATGTACCACCACCCATGGCTTGAATTTCCTTTTTTATTCTAAATGATTTCATACCACATAGAGCAGTGGACTCTGCCTTTTACTGAGCACCTTATTACACATGCAATGGATATTTTATATAGAATATATCAATTTATTTTTAAACCAATGAATAAATAAACAAGGTATTTTGTCATGCTTATAATAACTAATGCCTTATAAAAACATTACATATTTTTATATGGCCATATTATAATTTAACCATCCCTATTAACATCCCGATGTTTCTAATATTTTCAATTTAGAAATGCCATTTTCTTGAATTTTCTTAGTGATCAATCTAAACACATCTCTTTATTTTTGGGACAGATGTCAAGAAATGAAAAATATTGTGTCAAAATGTTTAAGGTGTTTTATTTTTTGGTGCTGGGGACTGAACCCAGGGGCTGGCACGTACTGAACACTCGCTGTTCCACTGAGCTACACCCTCAGCACTTAAGGTGAGTTTCAGAAGACAATGTTTAGACTAACAATCTAACTCTTGCCTGTTATTATAAACCATAAGCATTTGGTTCGTGGAAGGGAGCAGGAGGTGTGGGTACCCATCCTCTTCCTGCTAGTGCCTTCCCTTTCAGTGGAGTACAGATACTTGCCTATCCAAAAGGGCTTCCTCCTACTGAAGTCCCAGAGCCACTGCATGTGTTTCCTGGAGAACACCGTTACAAGGTTGCCCAGAAATCTACACACAAACAAGGGAAGAACAAGAAAGTCAGCGGCAGGGAGCTAACACTTCTCATACGAAACAGGTAATAGAAGTAAAAGCGCGTTTCAAATACAAAAAAGGACACATGTGCAGAAAGAACTTCCCAAGGCTTTAACCCTCTGTTTTTACTTTCATAAGTATCTGCAGGGTGGAAGTAGGTGACAGCTAGGGAAGTGTTCTCTCCCTCTCTTTTTAAATAATATCTGAGCTTTAAGGTACAGTTTAATAGGTTTTGAATATCATATTGGAAATTTAGCAAATGCCTAGTTATAAAGATTAATTAGTCCATGCCAAAATGTTACTTGTCTCATAAGTTTTCCCTAACTGCTATACATTTGGCACTTATACAGTTAATTTGATCTGTAAGATAACCAAATTATTTAGATACAATGACTTGAAGTCTAAATTTTGAAATTGATGTGTTTAGTAAAATAACTCAATAATTATGACCCTTTCATTATATTCAGTGAAATACTCATAGCCATATCATCAAATCTTCATATATTTGACAGGAGTTAAATCATCCATTCTTATGAGTGTATATAAAAATTTTCCAACAGGGGCTGGGGATTTAGCTCAGCGGCAAAAGCGCCTGCCTGGCAAGCGCAAGGTCGTGAGTTCGGTTCCTGGTACCGGAGAAAAGCCAAAAAAAACAAAAACAAAAAAAAATTTTCCAACAAAATAGAATTCTCTATGAATTGCAGGTAGCTGAATTATTCCTACAAGTCAAAGGAGTATATGTGTATAATTGCCCTCCAGAGTTTATTTAAAACTTTAAAACATTTTTAATAAAAAGCAATAGATCATTTTTCATCTTCCTTAAAAAAGATTTCAGACAAGAAACACAATGCATGCATATATCATAGCATTGTATCCCATAAGTATACAATATTTTGGTCAATTAAAATTCAATTAAAGAGAAATAATTTTAATATATATATATTTAAAAGCCAAACAAAAAACCATGATTTTCTTATTTGGTTAATATCCGCTGCTATGAAAACAAAGCAGAAATAAAATTAGCATTTCATAGACGATTAGACAACTGTTGAACTACATTTTATTCATTTTGCCTATGTCTTTGCAAAGTCAGGTCTACTTCTCTGCTTTTGTCACCTACTGCAGATATTATTTATGTGATTCTTAATGACTGTTTCTGTCCTAGTTCCACAACTATGCTGCTGCTCTGTAATACAATGGTGCCTTCCAGGCCTCTTGAGATATGTAATATGACTTTTCCCTCTCTCTCAACCCCTGGTTGCTTCACGCTCCTGGATTTGGGTTCGAGACTTGGCTCTGACCTCATTATTTGCCATTAGCTCCTTATGATGGGGCATTCCCTCCCCTCACGTTCAGTATGATTGTTCTATAAAGGGCGACTGAAACAAATGGTGAAGGCTTGAACTAAGAATAAATGCATTATAGTAAAAAAACACGTTGCCAAGAGCAACAGACGTGTGTGCGAAGCAAGGGGATTATTTTGAGGGGGGTTAATGGTAATGCGTCCTTTAGTGTAGTCAAATTTTAGAATTTGAATAGTCACTGCATTTTATCCCTCCTCCATCGAACATCTCCATCAAACAATTTCTGTCAAATAAAACATGACAGCGTACTCCTCACCCACCATATTCACTGGACGTGGCTCTTCCCCACAGTCAAAATGATAGGAAAGATACACACTGATTCAGGACACCCAGGCTGCCACAAGAGCGATAGTGCAACTAAAGACGCTCGTGAAAGAGGACTTCCAGAACTGCCTCAGACAGTGGCAAGAACCACGGGGGTGTTTGTATTAGGAGGGAGCATTTTGAAGGGGATTAATGTATCTTTCACTGTAATACGTTTCTCCAATTTCAACACTCATCACAGTTTTGGGTCACACCCAGGTATGTGTTGTGGCCTTAGAACACAAAGTTTAACTCCTGTGCTAAATGGAGGCCAAGGGGAGGCGCCATGAGGATGGGAGGAGAGGGGTCCATTTCTCAGGGCCTCCCAGAACTCCCAAACGCCCTTCCTAAACTAATGTGTTTGCTGAGGTTCACCAGTCTCACACCATCAACTTCAATAATATTGACTAGTTTACAAAAATATCCTTCTATTTCTTTTTGCTCACATACCTATAAAGTGTGGTGGATATTACCTATTCAGATAATAATGTGTATTTACTCATATACAAACAAGAAACATATCAATACTAATATAAAAATAAAAATCCTTTCATAGCTCTGAAATGTGAAGGCATTCAAAGTATAGAATCAAAAACAGAAACCTGGCGATAGAAATACACATCTACTTCTTTAGAAGTCTTTGATTAAGTATCAGTACATCTCAGGGCAACTCTTTAAGGATAGGCCAGCAGGGGTCCCAGACACTCCTTGGGAAGCAAAGTGGTTTCATAGATAATGATCTACAATAATAGAATTACCAAACGTACAGTGACCGTCTTCGGAAATGAGCAGATGAGATTACAATATGTAAATTCAAGAAATGCATACTCTTGGAGTCTGACTCCTCTGGGTTAGAAAAACAATACAACACCAGTGGGGAGGAGAGGAGATTGGAGATAAAGATTGAGTTGGGTTAATCATCTGATTAGGGACAAGGGATAAAGTGCAATAGCCCTCTGTGAAGACCTTCGGGTATGTGTGCCAGTGAGCGAGCCCCAGGAAATAGCAAAGAATTGAGTAATGGTTCCTAAGACCAAATAAAACATACTATGGGCATACTAATTCCAGTCTTAGAATCTAAAGCCATCTTCTAAAATGCCTGATAAGAAAATAAATCTCCAGGTCATAAAACTCTAAACTGTGATCTTGATCTCACAGAGGAACCGCAGTTCCCAAAGGAGTCCACATTTTCAGCTGACAGAGTTAGAGAACGGGGACGATGAACTAGAAGGGTAATGCATGAAAAGAAGGCAGGAGACCAAAGGATGATTTAAAAATATACTGAATGGGCAGAGAAGGACTTGAGCTTTAGAGAACACTTTTACTGAGGTGCTGGTCTTACCACCCAAAAATGTTCCTCCTAAAATGATTGGTCCAAAGGCATAAGGTGATTTTCTATTTTGCTTTTAATCTGCTGGTAGAGTTTTTAAAAATGTCTATGACCAGTGGTACAACTATGATCATTCTTCTTGCCTTATTGAAATAAAATGCATATTGAAGAAATATGCAAATGTAATCAAATTAAATGTTTATATTTATTATTTTAATTAAAAATTTAAACTCAGAGCTTCTGGTAGTGCTTAAAAATCTCTGGTTAGGGGCTGGGGATTTAGCTCAGCGGCAAAAGCGCCTGCCTGGCAAGCGCAAGGTCGTGAGTTTGGTTCCCGGTACCGGAGAAAAACCAAAAAAAAAAAACCAAAAAAAAAAAAAAAAAATCTCTGGTTATACATAAAAAATATATCCCAGAGTAAATACATTTACTTCCACTATGTATTCTGGAATACCATCTGAAATGGTATTTGGTAGATATTTTAGTTTTCTCATCAATACTAATGTGTAATTTGAAAGAGTTTCTTTTACAGACACTTTATAAAATATGGTTTAAAAGCGCCAGTTATTCCTAAAGTTTTTTCTAATTGAGTGAATATTCTTAGCTTTATATATTTTTTTAAATTTTTTTTTGTGTGTGTGTGTGTGTTTTTGAGACAGGGTCTTGCTATGTAGCTCAGGCTGGCCTCGAACTCACTTTGTAGCCCAGGCTGGTCTCAAACTCACTTTGAAGCCCAGGCTGGCCTCAAACTCACAACGATCCTGCTGCCTCAACCTCCTGAATGCTGGGATTACAGGCATGCACCACCACACCTGGCCCTTAGCTTTATATCTTAAAAAATGAATAGTTTTACAGTTTGGAACAGTTCCCTGAGACTAGAGTTTATCAAGATAACTTTAAAATAATTTGAATAACAATACTTGCAAAACTTCTAGATGTGTTAACTCTGTTAGTTACAATCCCTCTGAGGTGCAGATGGAAAGTTTTCAGGTGTCATAATAAATTTTGGAATGATTTAGTCCAGAACAAAAGACCTTTTCACTCCCAGTCTTTCTAAACGCCCTGTGTGTTCTGATATACTCACCCAGCAGATGTGGCTCTCAGCTCATACTGGTAGATTTAGGTCTATGGATTTTTCCATCCCCTGCTGAGAATGGAACCCAGCACCCTATGCTGCGGTACATCTTATTGTAATACAGGATTTTGTATATAGTGTATACCATGGGAAGCTGCTTAAAACCAGTTGCAAATGGGACCTTAAGTAGAAGCTTCAGTTGCCATTATTTTATAAAAAAATGATTTTTGATGCCCAAAAGCTAAATGATCATCATCTCATGGTAAAGAATAGACTTTCTAGCTAAAAATACTTGGCAGCCTCGTGCTGACATTTACTGAATGGATGGGAAGGAACCTCTCAGTACATGACGTCTTCTATTTTCTCATAACACTAAGAACCAGTGAAAGCCTTGCGAGAGACCCACATGGTTACTTTTCCTGTGAGAACCACTGGAAGATAAAGTTACTTCCAAATTTGATGCTAGGGCCTCCACTGTGTTTATTTACATTTTAGCAACAAATATCAGCAAAAATTTATTGTGATAACCTTCACTGGAGTATCAGGGCACTTGTCCTCATTTTTATCAGTAGAGAAGCCAAAGTCTCCCTTTGGTAGCGGAATGGTCAGATCGCGTTAGGTTCTACGTGAAAGATCTCTCTTTAAGGAGTAAAAAGGCTAATACTTCTGCTTCTGTCTGAGCTTTCAATACATTAAAACAAGTTTTAATGACTGTGGAATATCTGGTTATTTTTGTTGAAGGATGTATTATTTGTTTTTTAATATATAGTGCTATGGGAATATATAAAGCATGATCAAACAATACAGCGAATGTTCAAATAAAAATTTTATTACAGTAAAAGACACATTGCTACTAACTCTCCACAAAATACTATCTCATTTCAAACACACTTATCGCCCCATTTTTGCCACCTTCTGAAGCAGTTCTGGAAGTCCTTCCCTATTAGCATCTTTAGTTGCACTGTAGGACCGCCCCAATGTTCTAAATCGATTCAAGACATTTACCTTTCATGCTCGCTTTGACTTTCAGGAAGAGTCAGATACTGCATGATGCCAGATCTGGTGAAGAGCGTGGATGAGAACCCTCTGTAGTGTTTTTATTTGACAGAAGTTATGTGTGTAGAATGCCCCGAGAGATGAGCAAATGACTTCATCCTCTTGCAACAATGCTCTGTGTCACACATTGCCTCTGGTATGGCAGCTACTGTCAAATAAAACTAATTCAGCACACTGATGCACCCATGACAGTGATACGAAAGGCACTCCTGAGCAAGGACTTCCAAAACTGCTTTGGAGGGTGGCAAGAATGTTGGGATAAATTGTCTGAAACAGCAGTAGTACTGTGAGGGAGATTGATGGTGATGCGTCTTTTACCGTAATGAATTTTTTTTCATTTAAACATTCGCTGTAGTTTTTAATCACACCTCATATTTAAACAGCGATTAGTTAAAAATTTTTAAAATATTTTAACATTTTTTATGTCATCAATTTAACTAGAAGTGTGAAAGCCACATATTAGCCTCTATTGTAATTCCACTTATAGCCAGGATACAAAATACACCATTGGGAAAGAAGTGGTTGATAGGCCCAGTTTTTAAACATTTGATTAAGGGCCAAGCATATAGCTCAGCTGCACAGCACCTGCAAGTGCAGGGTCTTGAGTTCGATTCTTAGTATCAAAAAAAAAAAAAAAAAAACCACACATAAACATTTGATTAGATTTTTAAAAATCTAAGTACAAAGCTAAGTACAGTGGCATGGACCTGTTCAGATTTGGGAAATTGGAGCAAGAGGGACTCTTGAGCTCAGGAATTTGATGCCAGCCTAGGCAATATAGTAAGACCTTGTCTTAAAAGAGAAATGAAGGTATAATTTACACACAATGAGTTTTATAGGTCTGTAAACATCCAGTTTGATGTGTTTTGGCAATGTATATACATCCATGTAACAACTGCCCAGAAAAGACATTTCTATGACTCTAGAAGATTCCTCAGTGCTGCTTTCTAGTCCCCTCACAACGCCTGCTGATGACCACTTATCACTGGAAACACCACACGTTACACTCCTGTTCAAAGAAACGGAATCATAACAAATGCTGGCGAGGCTGTGGAGAAACAGAAACTCTTCTCCACTGCTGGTGGGAATGCAGACTGGTGAAACCACTGTGGAAATCAGTTTGGAGACTCCTCAGCAAACTAGGACTAGAGGTCTCATTCAACCCAGCTATCCCCCTGCTGGGTATTTTCCCAGAATATCTGAAAGCATCATGTCACAGCGATATATGTGCACCCATGTTCATAGCAGTGCAATTTGTGATTGCTAAATCATGGAAGCAACGCAAATGTCTATCCACTGAGGAGTGGATAAAAAAATTGTGGCATTTTTATATAATGTAATATTACTCAGCTATAAAGAAAGATAAACTTGAGGCTTTTGTAGGTAAATGGTCACAACTAGAGACTATAGTCATATGTGAAATAAATCAGACCCGCACGTGTAAGCAACATAGTGTCTCTCTAGTGTAAGAGCCTGAAAGCTTGAATAAAAATTAGGAGGTATGATAGACACTGTGAAATGAAAGGAAACTGCTCAAAAGGAAAGAGCAACTAGGAAAAGAGAAAAGAAAGAAGGGGAAATTATGTATGTATGTATATACAGGATAGCTAACATAGTTGTACTACTGAATTCTACCGCTTTATTGAAAGGAACAGTTAATGATTAATTATTTGATCAATCTTGCATGTCTATATTTGTTTTCCTGAGTAACCACTTTGATATCAATATGTAATACAACAACCATGGTTAATTTCCTGTCACCTTGTCTGTAATTCAGTGTTGCTTGTATTGTTCTTGTGCCATTTAGTAACTGGATGTTTGTTTGTTAATATGTTTTCCTTCTTTTATTTTTAAGATAGAAAAAAATAAAAACCAATATGTATTCTATTGTGTAAGGCTGCCTTCTACTGTGCTTTCTTTGCATGTTGTTCTGTTCTATCTACAGTTCGTCCACATTGTTGAAGTTTTCAGTAGTTCATTTAATTGTTCATAAAAAATTTATATAAAAATACAATTTAATTTCTTGTTAATGAAGAAAATGTCAAGTATTCCTACAAGTCAATAGCAAAAAGACAAGTATCCGAAATTATTATTAATATGAAAAAAGTAAATATGAAATTATTTTGTATTTTTGGCATACACTTTTCTCTTGGTTAAATACCTACCAGTAGAATGGCTAGGCCATAGGGTATGTAACTTTCTGAGAAACTGCTGGACAGTTCCACAAAAGGGCTGTACCATTCTACACCTCCACCAGCAACACGTGAGAATTCTATTTTCTCTACACACTGTTGATATTCGATGTTGTAATTTCATGATTTTAACTCTTTAGTGGGTGTGAGGTGGTCTTTCACTGCGATTTTAATTTTCTTTTTAAATTCACTTTGATTAGTATATGTTTACGGTACAGAATGTTTATGGTACATAGTGTTTACATTTTTGTAGGGAGTTGGTACATGTATAAAACATACCTTAATCCCATTTTCATCCCCTTCCCTACCCTCTCCCCCACTCCCTCCACCTCTTGATCCCCTTCCCCTTTAAGGAAAATCTATCTCCCTACTTCCTGTTACCTACCTTTTAATTTGCTTCTTATTTCTTTCTTTCTTTTTTTTTTTTTTTTGGTTTTTCTCCGGTACCAGGAACTGAACTCACGACCTTGCGCTTGCCAGGCAGACGCTTTGCTGCTGAGCTAAATCCCCAGCCCCTTTGCTTCTTATTTCTATTTTGGGTTTCTTGTATGAGAGAAACCATGCAGTATTTAAGATGCTGTGTCTGATTTATGATCTGAAGTTATGTCCATTCTCCTACAAATGACTCAAGTTTATCTTTCTTTATGGCGAATACTACTCCATTGTGTGTAAAAACCGCATTTTCTTTATCTACTCATCTGTCGATGGACACACAGGCTGCTTCCAAGATTTAGCTGTTGTGAATTATGCTGCTATAGACATGGGTGTGCATGTATCACTGTAACAGGATGACTTTCACTTGGTAAGATACCTAGAAGGGGAATCGCTGAGTCAAATGGGATTTCTAGTTTTAATTTTCTGAGGAATCTGTGTGCTAATTTCCATGTGGTTGTACTAGTTTGCATCCCTATCAGCAACAGAGACTGGTTCACTTTCACCAGCATTTGCTATCATTTGATTCTTGATGATGCCCATTCTTTCTGGCGTAAGATGGAATCTCAGTGTTGTTTTAATTTTCCTAGTATCTAATGGATAGATATCCAGCTTGGCAAATAGAAAAGAGATTTAAGAATAGTTACACACACATTTTTAAAGTCCTTCTGGACTAGATAAATTTTGTTGTCCTTAACCGACCACAAGTTATCTTTCACTGCCTGTTCTATTACCCAATGAGCCTCTGTCCAACCTGTCAAGCTTTACGAGCACTTACACTGCTATAAGGCCTTCATTACTATACATCTTCAAATCAATGAACAGGACTTCCTACTCTATGAAGAAGAAGGACAAGAAGAACAAGGAGAAGGAGGAAGAGGAAGAGAAGAAGGGGAGGAAGAAGAGAGGGGAGAGGAAGAGGAGGAGGGGCAGGAAGAGGAGGAGAAAGAAGGAGAAGAAGGAGAAGGGGAGAAAGGTGAGATCAGAACTTCTAATGCTTCTGACTCACCAAAGCTCCTGTGACTTTCTACAAACAAACTGAAATAGAATAAGAAGAAAGGAATGCGGCAACAAAACACTTCATTAACCAAAAAGAGCTGAGTCAAAACAGATCAAGGTCAATCACAAATCCATTCTGAACTACAAAATTCCCTCCAGGTTCCTAAACTACCGCCAGGCACATGTTACACTTATTACTCGGTCACTGAGTGAAGCAGACCTCCAATTCCACAGAAAATAGAGACATCACTGAAAATGCCAATCAAAAGTAACACAGGGCTCCTTACTGTTCCCTGCAACTTTGGGCAGCTGTGTTCCAGGTGCTTCTCTGCTCTGTGATCAAGGTGTGACAGTAGCCTGAGTGAAGGTGCCATCCAGCTGGGCAGGATTTGTCTTCCAACTCCTGAAAAATAATTGTCCGTGTTCACATCATGATGGACGTTACAATCTCGAGGCTGATCTCCGCGCAAGGAGTCCTATGAACTCCCTGACTTTAGTAGAGTATTTGTCACCAGAGTCAGCCTTATTCCAATTCTCCATCTTGAGAAATGCAGTGAGTTCCTACAGAAAACCCTTCCTCAGTCAGCAATTTCAATTTTATGACTTTGGCATTTTGATCATTAAACAAAATGAGCAAACATCTTCGGAAACTGTATTGATTGAAGTGTATTGATTTAACAATGCATTTCATGATTTGGCCTTCAAGTTTTTGTGAGGGCAGACAGACGCAGAATGCGTTGGCAGGTTCACACCAACTATTAGCTCACCACCAACTAGTTGTCGTAAGGCATACACAAGTAAAGATGTGCAGCTTCTCAGCCTGTGTCCCACCTTGGTTTGGGGGCTCCAGGATTTCCAGGCAACCCCATTGCATTGGTATAGCTTTTGGATGCTTTCTTCAAAATGGAAGAGCCCCTTTAATTCCACAGTGCAGTTCTTCGGGAAGGAGGGCAGCTGGCCCTATGGGGAGGAGAGGCCGTGTGAATCGACTTAATGGAAGCTGATAACACACTTATTTCCTTTGGATTTGCATTTGTCGGGCAGCATTTGTATTAGGTAAACTGTCCCCAAGACTGGAGGTTATTTTGTGAATTAAGTGTGTTTATGGCCCAGCAAACAGCTTGTTAGGAGGTAGATAGGAAAGAAAGGAGATTTTCGTACCTGTCTGGGGAAGTGTGAGTCAGGTGTGGATTCCACCTTATCTGCTTGAGGCAGCTCTGCCACCTGTGTTGTCTTCTGCGGCTCACTAAGGGTGGCGACTTTGACCTTCCTTTTGTGAGTTGGGAAATTGTCACCTTCCAGTTTCAAGGAAACCATCCCATGATACTTAGGGAAACCAATAAACATCAATCGCAAGGAAAGGCATCAAGACAGTGAGCAAAACAAGTTCTATAAAAATGATCAGTTCGTAAATTGTATCTAAGCAAAAAAGATGAAAGGTTTTTTTCCCTGACCACTCAGTCTTCTACAACAAATTATCAAAAAATTAGATAAATACATTTATAAAACATATACAGTAATAGTTTCACTAAATACTTTGCATCTATAAATACTAGAAATTTAGCAATCCTTTGACAATGCTTACAGTGTAGATGGTGTCTGTTCCATTTCTGTACACAGAGGATGGGAGAACCTGAAATCAACCAAGGACAGTAAATGCCTTAAACAGTGATGAGCAGTAGGGTAAAACCCTTCCTGTATGATTTTAAGAACTGAAAACAATTTAAACATGTTTCTTAAGATTTTTTCCTGCCCAAATTATTGGAAATTTATTTTTAATTAGATTTTATTGGCACATTTTTGATATACTAATGATCACATTCATCCGAGGATTTGTACCTGCACATGATATAACTAGTTTTTTCCTCTTTCCCCATCCTCCCTTCAAACCCTCCTCTCCTCCCCATTTGTAAAGCTTTGTTTTCACATTCTCCTCCTTTTCTCATTTTTGTTTACTTTCCCTTCTTCCCTCTCTCCCTCCCCTCTCTTCCACCCCCCCATTTGAACGTTTTCCTCCTATTTCAAAATACATTTTCGTCCTTATTTACCCTTTTAGTTTCCCCCACCAGAGAAAATCATGGAAATTTTAAAAATCACTAGGTCTAGTCCCACTGATAATTGTGTTGGATCGTGCATGCATAGCTCCAAGATAGGGAGAAAAAAATTCCTTATTTTTTAGCGCATCTATAGCATACAAAGGCTCAAGAACACACACACATAATTACGAGTGTGTGCTTTGCTGGAGCACTGTCCTGTTCAAAGTCAAACTTATGATGGTCTCCACACCCAAATGGATGGAGCACTTTCTCTCTTTTTGTTCTGGGATCCCTGGCTTTTCCCTATGTATCTCAAGGACAAAAGGAAACAAGCAGAACTCATACCAGTGAATCCGTGTATCTGTCCCTTCAACTAGAATATCTAATGAAGTGGGGCAGCAGCCTGGCCTTTGTAGACAAAAGGCACCACACGTCTCTGAGAGGAACCATGGCCCCACTCGCTCTGAGCCTCCAAACAGCTTTCTCCCTACTTCAGAATACTCATTAGTTAATATGTATCCCACCCCCGCCCCCAGAAGGCCCCCACCCTTACCACTTTGCCATTCCCACGGGTCCCAAGCTTCCTTCGAGAAAGAGCTGCAGAATCAAAGCCCCACAGGGTGTCTCCCCTGGTGACTGGTAGCTGCTTGGAAGATGGAGGGGGTCTTCTTTCCAGATGCAGGGAGCCAGAAGTGGTGGGTGAGGAAGACCCCGGGGACAGCGGCTGCCAAATGCCCTTCTCCGGTGCGTTGTGCCTGCTTTGGCTGAAGGAGTATGAAGGATGGCACTGTCCTGGAGGCACGCAAGATGGCAGGCAGTCAGCACGGCTCACACAAAGAGATAAGGGATCACATTGACACAGCTCCTGGAGCAGCTTGTCATTAAACTTAGATGGATGCTTTTCCCACCAGATGTTGCCTTTTTGCCATGTGCCAGAAACTGCTTTACTCCTCATCAGTTTCCATCCAGGAAAGTGGTGCCCTTCTGCACATTTACAGGGCGATTATAAAGTCATGGAGCTGATTTCATAAAGCACAATGAAATCATTTTCATGATTTTATTATCATATTATATACTTGGGAAATGCCTCCTTTTGTATTATAATTCTCCTCAGTGTGTCAGGTTTTTTTCCTCGATTAAATTTTATTCCACAAGCCCTTCAAAAATATTTGTTTTTTCCCCTGATCTTCTAGAGGTTTCTCCCTGATCTTCTGGATTCATAGACTGGAGTTTTTTTAAAGATGTCATGGAATCAAGCAGTAGTTGCAAAAATTTTCATTGAACTGTTACAGAACAAACTGCTTCCATAGGAAATCTAGCCAATTGATATTTTTCAGGTGGTATGAAAAAAATCGAACATCAGAACCCTATTTATTTTTTGTGTTGGGTTCAAACCCAGGGCCTTGCTCACGCCAGCTAAGCCCTCTATACTGGTACATCCCCAGCCCCCAATATTTCATATTTCATATGTGAAGTGTATATTTCACACATTTTGTGTATTTCATGTGACCAGAAATTTCTACTGGAAAAGAAATATATTAGTGAGGAAAGAGGCGGAAGGGAGAGGGGCTATGGAAACAGGTATATTATAAAGGAGTCCAAACAGGAGACAGCAGACTCCAGATCGGAGAGAAATATGGACCCCAGGACACGGCAGCTACAAACATGGGGACATAAAATGGAGCACAGGACTGGGCATTTGTCAAATGCTAACCAGACAAAAACAAGAAGGGATTTGGCAGGAAAAGACTCAAAGCACCGAGCACTTTGGCTGGTCTTTATTTTATTTAGTTCACAGGTTGTTCTTCAGCATATACTACGCTGGGCTTGCTTGGCTCTGCACCCCAAAGTCATTCATTAATACTGTCCAGCTGCTCCTGCTTCCCTGAGCCAGCTGTATCTTCACATCTATTTTTCTCCAACTCTTTCCCTTAGAATTTTCCTGGTACCCTACCGAGGGGCTCGGGTTTTAGGCGTTGAGAGCTCTCCTTAACGGAGGAAGATAATTACAGCCTTCCAAACTCTCAGGGAAAATAATTGTCCCTAGATTCTCACCAACATTGTTTCCCCCTCGGTGAGAACAACAAACGGTTAGGAGAAAAACAACCACGGCACTGACTTGTTGCTTTTCTCAAGCGGTAGTTCTTAGCGGGAGGAAAACCACATGAAGCAGAAACTGGAATAAAGGGCCTACACCATGACTGAGGCTGCTTGCTTGACAAGAAATTAAGCATTTTGATTTGAAGGCATTATCAAGCACATTGGCTGTTGAAAGCAAGCAGCCTCCGCGCCAGGACTGCTCCTGATTTCAAGATGAGGATCAAAAGAATACCTCCTTTTGAGTCCAAAATTTTCACTGCAGCTTTTGTCTTCGTGCCAAGAACTGCATTCACAGGGGAGTTCAGAATTACTTCAAAGACCTCATCATCTTCCTCTAATCCGTCATAGGTAATTGCTATATTCCACATCTTAGTTGACATTCCTACAAGAAGTAAACATTTTAATTACTCTTTAATTGCTATTTCAATCACCTAGGTGTCAGAGAAATATATTAATTAACATGTCTACAGTTAGACTGCGATAGCCCGAGTGAGCTATTGTACCGCCACCCACTCACGGACGCCTTGCTGTTCTCCCAAATCATATGAAAAGACCACATTTGTTCCTGGACAATGATGATTCCCTTTCAGTGCAAACACTGTAACAAAAAGTAAGCTGCACCATGCAAGGCCGGAAAAAAATTGTTAGTAGATGAGCTCTCAGACGGAATTTCTTCCCCACCTGTCCCTTCTCTACTTAAGAATAAACAAGCACTACAATTTTTAAATCTTCATAGTTTCAAAAATCTTAAGATGCTGATGCAGACAGAAGTGATTATTAGAGGGTGCTTCACGCTGTTCATGGAACCCTTGAAATGATTGATTTCTGCAGACAGCTGCCTGCACGGGCTGCCCTGCTTCCTGAGACCCTGCTAGCCCACAAATGCTTTTTCTGATGGTGTAACACTCAGCAGTCTGAGCTCCTCCGAGAGAGAATTTATGGGCTGGGGGTTCTACAAACAGTAAGCCCATTTATTTTCCCGCTTTCTGTCTGCCTCTATTCAGGGAGTCTTACTCAACCTTGGTACGAAGTAACATTGTGGCCATAACACAAGACAGTTTTGATGTTACCAAGATAGCCCAGTCATTCTGCCGCCCCCGGGAACGGGGGGCAACGCAACCACACGGGCACAAAATATTAAGCATGGAAGGAACTTCTGTGTCCTAGTCCTGACTGAATTCCCTGATGTGGATTACAGGACTGTCTCCTTGAGTTTATTTAGAAGAGCAAGTGGAGGTGGGAAGAAAAGAGAATGCTGGTTAGCAATGCAAGAAGGCTGAAGCTAAAGGGGAAAAGATAGTAAATTTATGGTTTAACCTTGCAGCGCGAGGTCTGAAACGCTTTCTCTGCACTTTACTCACTGGCTATTTGAGTGCTTTCAGCCTCATAAATCTTTCTATACAAGGTAGTTAAACACTTTTTCCGAGACCTTTCTTCTGAAAATATGACTCTTTTTTTTTCCTTGCAGATTGCCTTCCACAGATTTATGGAATAACTAAGAATAACTCTGCCATGTCTATGACAGCCTCTTTTATTTTCCCCAGAGACAGGGTCTCATTATTTAAGTCCAGGCTGGCCTTGAACTCGCTATGTAGCTCAGGCTGGGCTCAAACTAGTGGTTCTCCTGCCCCGTCCTCCCACGTGCTGGGATGACTGGTGTATGCCACCACAACCAGCGGATGGCCTTTTTTTTAAAGGCAAGTCTTTTAGATCTCATGATCTGATCGAAGTCTCATTAATTCCCACCAGAATCCAGTGAAAAGATCAAACCATTCATTTATCCTACAGAGGAAAAAAATCAGATGTATCTGGATTAATTGCATTTAAAAATGGATTGATATTCTACTCATTAAGCTTTCAGTATCGAGTCTATTCCCGAATCAATCACGTTTGCGTTCCTTGCAAAAGCAGTTGAAGCATCTAATATAAAATACCATATAATCTCCATCTCGTGGATGAATGGCTCGATCCACCAAAACATGTTTTGCACTGAAGTGCTTGTCATTGCATTAGATACTATGGAGCATACCAAAGTGTAACATAAGCTAAGCTCTGACCTAAAGGAGTTTAAAGCTTCTTGGAGGAGACAAGACAAACAAAGTCCCCTGGGTCTACACAGAGGACTAATTCCAGAGCTCCCATCAGACACCAAAGCCTGCAGTGAACTTCAAGCCCTTTACATATAACTTACAGATGTCCTCCTGTAAATTTTAATTTGTCTCTACACTGCTTATAATACCCAGTACTGTGTAAATGGTTGTTTTACTATATTATTCAAGTAATGACAACAAGAAAATAAAACTGTGCGTGTTCAGTAGAGACACAATTTTTTTTCCCAATTAGTTTTGATTTGTGGTTGTCTGACTAAGTGGATAAAGAATCTGTGGATATGGGGCTCTGACTGTACCAGAAAGGTCAAAAATTATTCAAAACTGTGTATGATTGCCTGGCAAAAGATACAGATCATGTGGAATATAGCATACATACACAGGATCCAGAGTTGGAAGGACAAGGAAATGAGAAAACAACGTAAGCAAATACAGGAAGCTAACTAAGTGGACAGGAGGCCATAGGCTCAGAATATTTCTGCAGACAGCCCTGGACACCAGGTGGCCATATTCAGACTCTAAACAACAGGCAACAGGGAGGGCTCTCAAGAGGAGAAATGACAGTCAGAAAGTGGTATTTTAGCAAAATGAACATAGAGTTACGTGTGCAGGTTTGGGCACTCAAGTAAATAGCACTTGTAGACAGAGTGGCACTTGTGGACAGAGTCTACAAGTTGGACCACTACATAGGTAGCTGTTGCAATAAAACTGGCATGAAAAGTAAGAAATTGGCAATAAAGGAAGCGACTCAGATTGTTAGTACTTGAAGAAAAATATTTTGACCCTCAAAAGCCATCCAGTTAAGCATTATTTAAGTAAAAATTATTTGCAAGCCCCAACTGATTTCTCTCTTATTTTAAGAACCATTTTGTAAAAATTATAGTGGCAAAATTTTTGCTGGATCCTGTGGAGGTGAACCAGATGGCTGGAGAAATTCCGAGTTTGATTTAAATGTTTCTGCTTTGTTCATCTGCATTTCAGCTCGGTGTCTACGCCTGCCAGGTGCGAGGCTTAGGTTAATGAGATTGGAAGCAAGGTCACTGTTGTTGCTGTTGCTCCCTCCTCCTCCTCCTGAACTTCCAAAGTGCAAAGTATTCGCTAACTGCCTGAGCTATACCTGCATTCCTAGAAGGCTTAAACTGCCCCCTCCCTGCTACCATAAAACAAAAGGTGCCTGAGAGGAGAGAGAAGGTGTTATTTTGTACGGACACGTCCCACTTTACATAATAGGTGAATTCCCGGTTATCTTCCTGCAAAACAGATTTTCCTATAGAAAGACATTTTCTCAATATTTTTTAGTAAATGCCACATTAGAGATCTTTTTCTTTGGGAAACATTTTGACTCTTGGGAATGATGAAGTTTCAATGAAGAATGCCACAAATTTTCTAAGAACACATATCTTAGAGGAAAACAATCATTTTCTAAAGAGTGCTTACACATGCATTTAGGCTTAGTCACAACAGTTGAATGCCGTGCAGGCAGGACTCATGTTGCAGTTTGGTACCACAGCTGCAAGCAAGCCTACTGGCCTAGAGCTCTCCAACCTTGTAGCAGTCCGCTCTCCTTGACTGTTCACTGTTTCTTCAAGACCGTGAGCGCTGCTGTGGTTAGAGAAAGGGACAGACTGCTCTGGGCCAAAGGGCGGGGAGTGGTGCGGGGACCCAAAAGAAGCGCGGATTGGCATGATGAGAGGACATGAACACTTGCTGGACCTGTGGACACGGGCCTCTAAAATTCTCTAAAGCAACACTTCAGGTTTCCGAAGTGGTTTCTTCCTTTATACATTCCAACACAAATGTGCGAGCGTGTGTTTTTTTAAATTTATGAGATATGCTTGTACTATTTTTGAAAATGTCTAAATAATCTCTAATCAGAAGACTAGAGCTCCCAGAAGTCATTAGTATCTACTCAGAACACCCTGTAAAGTCCTCTAGACAAACGGGTATTTATCTTATCCAGTGGGATCTCCAAGAGGCAGATTTTCAAGCCTCCCCAGTGTGAAACAGTCTAGGTCCTAGCAATCCAACCAGAGCACCTGCTGTGCTGTTCACACCCTAAGGAGAGCCAAAACTCACCCCTGATCTTGTAACAGATATTAGTAATGAAAAGGACCTATGGCAAAGACTCTTGGATCACAGCATGGAAAGGCGGGAAGTGCCTTAACATAAAGGTCAAAATGTCACGGTGCAAAAGTGTCTTTTCACAGTACAGCGGACCAGCACCCGGATAGCCTGCGGGATCCTGAGGCCAAACGTCTAATTTCAGCACACAACCAGCACTTCCCACAAAGGGTGGTCAGGATGAGAAACCAGCTTACCAAGTGAGAAATTCAACATCGCAAGAAGCACAGTACAGGGACACCTCGGTTCCCAAACTTAATTTTTTAGCGGTTCTGGAAAAGATGGCCACATTTGCGGTCTCGCAGGAAAGATGGCCGTGGTCGTGTTCATCACTCCACGCAGAGTTTGCAAACAAAAACAAAATGTTTGCTAAATGTTTCTGTTTGCAAACCAAACTGTGTGGTCCGTGAACTGAGGTACCACTACAGCTATACTAATGGGTGTTAAATGTAAGGCTCACCTTTATACACTAGATTGTGTCCCTCAAAAATTTTTATGTTGAAATTCTAACCCCTACTGTTTCAAAATGTGACTGTTTGGAAATCAATGCAGGTGTGATCAGTTATTATGAAGACACACAAGCATGGCGAGGTCCCTCATCTACTACGGTTTCTGCCCTTACACAAAGGCGAAATTTGTCTGTGGCTCTGCACTCGGGGAGAGACCACGTGAAGACAAAGGCAGGATGAGCCTGACAAGGCAAATGCCAAGGAAAGCCAGAGGCTGCCAGCAATCTCTAGAGGCATGAAACCGAGGCCGGAAGAGATTCTCCGTGCCCCGCCCACATCTAGTTCCTAGACTTGCAGCCTTCACAAATGTGAGATGATAAAGTACCCTTTTTTAAAATTACCCACCAGCTGATACTTTGTTAATGCCATGATCAAGTGCCTTGCTACTGTTTGTGGGAACTATATACAAAGGTGTCATATTCATTTAATTCTAAGATGGTAGTGATTATATTTAGGCCATTTTCTTTTGCTTTTGCCTCAAATCTTACGTTAGCGGCAAGCAATGTTGAAACTTAAAGGTTGGTGGAATGTTCCAGAACTCAGAAATGTCTGAAGGGAAACACAAAGCCACAGGCCTTGGCCTCTACTCAAGGACTTTACCATTTGCCCTTGGACAGGTAATCCAGGTCAATGTCCGCCCCCACAGAGCAGTGAGGTAGCCCTTCCACATAAGCTGGTAGCCCTTCCACATAAGCTGGTAGCCCTTCCACATAAGCCAGGGAAAAGGATGAGATCCACTCTCCGCATCTGGCACACTTCCCCAAAGGTGAGCCACTCATTTTATACTTGTCTTTCAATCTGGGGTTTTCTTCTTCTCTCTGCTAGATACTGCCTCCCCTGGGCAGCCTTCCAGGGTTTTTTTTACTCAGAACAATGGCTCATCCTTTGGGTCCCAGTGTACTGTTCGTGTGTGTTTCCACGTCTACACATCTTACACAATACAACATTAGAACATTCTTGACAGGAGACACCATAGTGTGTGTGCGCATGCAAGCATGCATATGTGCGTGTGTGTATGTGTGTGTGCGTGTGTGTGTGTCCTAGGGATCTAACAATAACTTGCACATTGTAGGTAAGCATGTTAGCACTTTGCCTCTGAGCCACACCCCCAGCCTGTCACCATATCTTTGCATTCCCTTTTGTACCTAGCAAAAGCTTTCCACAAATTTAAAACAAAGTGAGCATTCTTAAATTAAATAATAATTTCCCCTTGCATCAACCTATTCCAAGAGGGATCATTTAGACATGCCCTTTAAGAATCCACATAAATATTCTGAAAATTCCCATCAACGTATGTGGCAATGAAATTATTACAGCTTTGTGTGAAGACTTTAAATAATTTTTTAAAATACTCTTTTTTTTTTTTTTTCCTGGATTGTTTTGGACGATTGCTTTGACATTTTATATTCATTAATTTGCACAACTTTTGTTAGTTTAAAAACATGTTCATTTAAAAAAAGAAAGAACAGGAGAGCTGAATGTCAGGTCCAAACTCACCTCACTGAGCATGGGTGACACAGTGCCTGAGGAGCTTCCCCTTGGCTGAGTCGCATGATACCCTGTCTGTGCCACAGTCCCCTGACTTGTTTATAAATACACGAAACACGCTATAGATACAAAACCTACCTGAGTCAAACTGAATCAGTTTTGATGGGGTCACAGAGAAATCTTTTCCAACTGTAGCTGACACTTGGTTGACCTTAAAGGAAAATAAAGTCTTTCTTAAAAAATAAAAATAAATATTCCATAATAGAGAAGCATTTATTCTCCCCATACTAGACTAAACTCGGGGCTCTTAAATCTGTTTTTAATATTAAGTAAGGTTTTTTTAAAAAATTATAATAAACCATTTTAGATGCAGGCTCCATAGATCTTTCCTAAAGTTACCTTCCTGCTTATCCTCTTTAAATGATTCAAGCATTGGAGAAGGCACTGTAAATTTTAAAATTTTATTTTGCTCTGTTACAAACACAGTTTTATTGCATTACCTTCCTCTACTCCAGTTTGGTTTTAAAAATAAAGGAGAGGGAGACAAAGAAGTGAGAGAAAATTCCCTCCTGGTGAGCCGGTCCACTTTGAGGGACCCTGCAACCCCAGAGCCCTGGAGCCTCATACCAGAGGAACCCCAGAAAGTCTGCCCCGCTTTCCCACCGGGGAACAGCCAGCACTCTTCCCAGACCTGCGTGAGAGCTTTGTGGCACTGACAAACCTGGTGGCCAGTGGTCCCCACCGAGGGTGTAGAGGCTCCTGCTGAGTAAACTGTCAAAAGAAAACACTGCCGGAGGTCCGAAGAGACCACGGACTACTTCCCTGCTGCTCAGCACTAGGACCAAAAACCAAACGGCCACACGTAGGGCTCTGAAGCCACGGCCTTACACCCCACCCTCAGCAGGGCGGGTGCCTAAGTAGGTGTCAGCAAGCGTCCTGGGCTGCCTCGGAGCAGAGCTCCTGGGCTGAGATCCTGCATAAGTACAAAAGGGCGTGTTGCTTTGCACGTTTTTAAAAAAGGAGTGAAGTGAGTGTACAATCTACAGGTTTAAAAATCCTTCTTTCCATAGTCTCACGCAACGACCCCATTTCAAGTCAAAGGCTCTCGCTTGTGTTGGTGGACCCGCAGTGGGCACATTTTGCTGCAGGGCATTACCTCCTCTGCTTCCATTTGCTCTTTGTCTACGATGCCAAGGCTCCCCCAGACCACCTTTCACTGGGAAAGGGAAGCCCATTGTACACCTGGCCCCGCCATATGCTAGAGGTTATTTTTCCCTGCGTGGTTCTCACACGTGCAATTACATGGTATTTACCCCCACTGAGCTTACAGAATCCTATATGGGAAAAGCCACAGTGAGTCCGAGGCAAGGTGTTTGGAGAAATCAGTCAGGTAAAGGTGCACAGTTCAACCCTGGGCAAACAGCGTGGGATGGAAGTTCCTCCCCCTGCTCTGTTCCTAGTCAAGTGGCCAACAAACTCTTGTGTAAAGTGGCAGATCGTGCTCTAGGTCGTTTTCTGTAAGGACTCAGAGACTGTTGGATGAAGGCCTTCCCACTCAGCTGGCAGCCTCAGGCAGCGCGTTCAGCTTAAGTAGATACGTAGTTACTTGCTTCTTTCTCCCCAGCAAGATGAGCAGCAATGTGGCCCAAAACTCCAACTAAGGCATGTGGTGCTTTCCATGGGGCGGGGAGCAATTATTAGAAAGCTACCCGGTAGATTCCTTTCTTTTCTATAGCCATCTTCTGAAAATTATAGCGCATCCTAAGATTTTTGCTGTTTTACTAACAATAAAGTACCGATGCGTCTAGGACAAAGAGTACCTACGCTCACTGAGAGGTAAACTTTGAGTCTGGATATGGCGGAATTTAGGTGCACAAGGTTCTTTGGGTTTTTGAGTGCACTATCATAATTGAGACATAACAGATGTACCACCTTCCCCAGAGGCTAATATCCGTGCCTTTTCATCAAATTGAGGAAGAAAGTCCTCAGGGATCATTCTCCATTATTAGAAGTGCACCCTTTTCGTGGTCTTTTTCTCTTGATGAGCTGGTATTATAAAAACTCCTAAAAATCTTTTAGTTCTAGCAGCCATAGGTCTGCTCAGTGGTGAAAGAGTAACAGCAAATGGACTAATGCAAAAGCAGTTACCTGATTGGGAGCGGGGAGATCTAGGGCTTGAATCCACACCAAGCAAATGCTCTACCATTGATCTGCATCCCTCTGCTGTTTTTTTTTTTTTTTATTTTGAGACAAAGCCTCACTAAACTGCCTGAGCTGGCCCTGAATTTGTGATTCACCTGCTTCAGCATCCTGAGTCCAGTAGGTGGGGTTACGTGTGTGCACCATGCCCAGTTTTTCAATATCTGAAAATTCTGTATTTCAGGGTACCTGCACTAATATAAGCTTTCCCAATTTTACATGATAAGGATGACTCTGAAGATAGGTGTAAGTCTCCTGTTTTGCCTCATTCACTGCAATAATGGAAAGTGACTGCATTGCATACTAAGAGATGGCCATTCGGGGACTGAAATACGAACACAATGTGTTGTGTATGACTTTTCTTTCCAAAGCAGTATTTCACTGGTTTCATTAAGTTGGATATATCTCCCCATGAAATCAAACTTTAAAAGTTAAAGAATATATAGAAACAAATGAAGTAATTTCAAAACTAAAAACCGGTTTTAAGAAAACTATTCTAGGGGCTGGGAGTGTGGCTCAGTGGTAGAGCAATTGCCTAGTGTGTGCAAGGCCCTGGGTTCAATCCCCAACATTACCAAAAATAAAAAGTAAAAACTCAATCTAGGAGTTAATGAGTTTAAATGAAAGGTGAGGGGACAAGGAAATTTTGTATTTGAAATCTACAGAATTTCAAGAGCCCTGAAGTTTGAAAATTTTTTGGCCACTCTGAATTTTTCTAAGAAAATCATCAAAGGCACCAACAACATGAGCTTCAGCTTGAGAATTTGGATTTTAGAGACGTTACCTTTACACCCACAAAGGCAGATTCCATGGTACAGCCCCTCCTGGTCACTTCCAAGGGCAACACGCCCACATTCTCACAGACCTCGTACTCTGTCTGCGACCATTCAACGTGAGACCACCTCAGTTCCAAACTGCGCGTGAGAGGAAAGGAGAGATCAAAAAGGCTATTGTAAAACGTGCACAATGAACTTCTGGTGGGATTTGCTGCTTTATGGGAGGGAGAGTCACTGATTTCCATCACAGTGGCAACAGCACTTGATCAACCTACACCCCAGACAGAAATTCATTACGACTATTCGATGATTTTTAGTTCCCAGTGGACTTCTGCTAGCATTAGCTCGTTTGACCCTTACAATGACCCTAAGAGGGAGACAGAGTAAGGATTAGAATTTTATTTTACAAACGAAGAAACTACGATGAAAATGTTGTGGAAGGTCTCACAGTTACTAATGACAAAATAAAAGCGACTCACACTTAAGTGCTTTCAAGGAAAAACCAGCAGTGATTAAGTTCAAGGAGCCACTTATTTTTAGAAAGACACTAATGTGAAATCTTCTCTTATCTTCTGGCCTCC